CCCAAACTTGAGTAAACATTGAAGATTTTTAGCGTTTTGGCTGAGTTTGTGCTTTGGGAGTTGTCTATTGTTTCTAGTCTGTCATGATACAGCATTCTTGTTCAGCACGCGTGCAATGACTGCACTTGGCTGACTTCCGAATATGATAATTTTGGTACAGTGAGACAGGCCATCGCGTGATACATTGAGGTTTAACTCACAATTTTTAATCAATTCTCGTGCTTCTTGTGCCTTTGCAAAAAAAATCAAGAAGTGCTACATATTAAATCTACTTACTATTAAAAAAATATCATTTTTTCATAGGTTTAATGCAAGCCAATAATTAACCAACTCGTGACGGGAATCCCTTCTATTTTCTTATACTAAATTATCATATCTCGGTGAGCATTCGGAAGTCAGCCATTCGGCAAGTCAGTTCATGATTTACCGTGAAACAAGCTAAACTTTACTGCTAAAACATCATCGAGAGCAAGGGGAGTAAAAGGAATGATAAAGAAGTTGATTACCCATTCAAACGTCACACAGCTATTTCCGCGTTGCATATCAGTGTGATCTGTTAGTGATGTATCTGTTTTTATTATATAGACACGAGTATTTTACTGGAAAATATACCACTCGTAAAATTCATAAAAACTACATCCGGGACCCGAGCGGGTTATTTTCCAGAATCTCACACGTGAGTTTATCGATGACGTAATTTCGGTCATTTCCCTCTATTATTTTATCGATGTCTTTTTGTCTATATCATAAAAAGAACATTACACGGCGGCTTGAAGATATGAATTTCATTTTCTCGTGGCAAAAACAATATTTTACTCACTCGCTGCGCTCGTTCGTAAAATATTGTTTTGCCACTCGAAAATAAAATTCATATCTTCGCACCACCGTGTAATATCCTCTATTTAAGAATCATTAAGCACTTGCTTGAGTTCCTCCTACTTCACAGGACGACTCTCTTAGGAATCATTCCATTCGAAAAAGACAAACCTTTCAGTCCTTCGTCTTGTGATGATGACAACTCTACACGATTCAAACTGGAATTTGCACCAGATGAGACATGATTTGCATCTTCCTTGCTACTGACTCTTGGGAACGCGTCTTTTACCAGCTTAGCATAATAAGAGACATTAGGGCCATTTATACGAGGAAAAATAAGACGCGTCTTACATAGGACGCGTCTTAAATAAGACGCGAACTTTCCGTATAAATGGCACATTTCGTCTAAAATAAGACGCGGCTAAGCTAAGACGCGTCTTATTTTAGAACAGCCCTTAACACCTGTTCTTAGATAAGGTGCGTCTTAGCTAAGACAAGAAAAACTTCGTATAAATGACCTTCGCGTCTTATTTAAGACGCGAACGCATAGTACGCATCCGTTGATTTTCGGCGCGCCACGTTGGATTACCGTTGGTTAAATGGTTGCCGTTGGTTAAATGGTACAGTTCGCGTCTTATGTAAGGCGCGTCTTATTTTTCCTCGTATAAATGGCCCTTTTTGTCGTAGAAAGAGGTACTACAAGCAAGAAATTTTTCAAAGATGATTTTTTGCTTTGTCTTTTTAATTCTGCTGAAATCCTTGTATTTTGGTGGATAAGCCTCAGCTGGAAACCATTGACACTCGAAACTACTATAAACAGAATAATATTTACGAAGTGCAAAGTGTTTCGGGATTATAGGAAAATGCGCCGCTCCCCGCCACACAAGCCCTTTGAAAGGGAAACGCAAAATGCGAATTTTGACTTGCCAAACAAGACGAGTTTGAGTTTTGAGTTAAAAAGGAACTCACACTCTTTGATGTATTGATTCACTGTAACAACTTGTGTACCCAGGCCTTACACCGTTTCCGACTACAATCATAGATTACATGGTGGCCTGTGCAAATAAAAACCTTCCATAATCCGTTGTTTTTTACGGAGTTTGTCTCTTATTTGGACAAAAAATCCAACCTGAATTTTAATACGGTCTTAACCCATACTAGAAACGCCGAAAATACAGAGTTTTGAAAGCAAAAAGTCTACAAGTTAATCTCGTTAAAGTTTCCTGGTTTCTACTTAACGTTGAAGATTAGTCCTTTAACTACAAAAAGCCGCTGTTTTATCTAAAAAAAGTAGATTATAAACATTTTAAAATGGCGATTGAAGAGAGTGATCTTCTCCAAGTTCCTTCCTTTTCTCTCTTATTGTGGCGCTTCTGTGGGGCATTCATGCTTGAATAGCCCGCCGGTGTAGCTCATTATTATGCGTAAATGTCCAGCCATTCTGCCCGATGTTGTAGAAAGGTGGGGATAGGAGAAGGCAAGGCCCGGAATCCCATTCCTCTTTCTCTCACTTACTCTGCTCAGTTTACTGCCTGTTTAAAGCAGCCTCAGGCTGTAACACTTCAATGCAATATGTTACGCCCGTCAGTTAATCGATTTTGTTTAGTTCTTACAAAAGCGAAAAAAAAAACTCTTAATGACTCCCAAGTAGAGCAGTTTAAAGTAAAAACAACTGATACTAAACAGTTTAAAAACCCCAACTGCAATGATCTCTCTTTTTTTTCTTGAATTTTTTTTCATCCATGCCTTCTTTTGAGTGTAGTTGCTGTATCAGTTAAATAAATATCTAGCGGTTACATTTTGGTGGACAGTTTTTTAAGAATTTGTTCTAGTTTCGGGACACAGCTCCTTTCAATCAATACCACGAATATTTAGCTAGTGTGCTCCTTTAGGTGTTGTAGGTCACCAGATCGCATTCTTTTCTTTAATACCGACTCCTTGGATACAGTTTTTAAATCGTATGCCAATCCTAGCAGCCTCCATACATCAATGAGCATTTTAGTGAAATTCAAAAGCGAGGGATATTCACTTGTGGCATAATCTTGTGGGAACGAATGATGAAAGTTGTGGAAGCCTTCACCACTGCTTGTTATGATGGCAGTCATGCTCTCTGCAGATGCGATACTCTTGTCATAGGGTCTTGTCCCCCACATATGAGCAAAACTATTCACACACCACGCACAGTTAAGGGTGAAGGTGTAACGCAAGGCAAAGGCGATGAAAAATCCATTGTACAGGCTTTCATTCCATAGGTACCAAGGACCCACTGTAGGAATTAAGACGTTAAACAAGGTTCCGAGGAGGTTGTAATGCCTGCAACAAGATTAGAACATTTAAGATCTTTGTTATAAATTTCTCTGCTGTCACAAGGAGAGCTGTTAATGTACTTCATGTCATGTTTTTCCCGCGTAAAGGCTGAAGATATATAAATTTCTGTTTGCTTGTAGCAAAAGTCCAATCGCAAATTAGAAAGCACCATAAAACGGTATTACAAGAATCGCCTATTATCTTCCAGGGCGAAGTTTAATTATTTAAATGATTTCCATCGAAACAAGTTTGATTTAAATAATTAGTTTCAAACATTTTCCCAGCCCCGCTAGCATTAGTGCTATTTATAAAATCTATTATTGCTTAGAATGGAAGTGGTATTTTGAATAAGACGATTAGATAAAAGTTGTATAATTGACGTTGAAATATTTTACTTTTCTCGAATGAAGATTTAGGCATTACTCTTAAAAGTCTAGCTCTCCCCCACCCTCCCCCCACATGTGCGGCTTTCAATCGACCGTGACTGAAAAGAAAAATGAGACACTGCCCGCAGTCTATAGTAAGTCAGGAATATCCTGGAGAATAACTAGAATTTCACTCCTTAACAATATTAACGAAGAAAATAAAAGACTTAGGAGTGTTGATTGATTTCCATATTCGCCACTAACAATTTCGAAGTACATGTACACAATCATTATGGGCCTTCTTGATAGTTTCGAGAAAGAGAGACCACCCGAGAGTATGAAAAGTCCGCCTCGCGCGAAAAATGAGGCACACGCCCTCGATTGTTTTGGGTGATTTGATACTATCTATTATCAAAGATATACTACATTGAATAATCATTTTCTTTCAATATATTTTGTGCATGGATCTTCATGAAGTGATCCAATCTAGCTTACAGAGTGTGAAAGCATTTCTAACAACGAACGTAATTATTGTGTACCGAGAAAACTTGTTTTATGTGAAGCAATCAGATCAGTTCTTTAAACCCGGCACCTACAATAGCCTGCACACCCGTTCTTTGTGTCCTCACGCAACGCTGCTTCTCACAAACGTGAGCGTTGCGTGACAACACAGACAACGGCTGTGAAGCCTGACTACCCGATACCCAGCCAGTGGAAAAAACCACTTTTCTGTACTAGGCGTTTGGGGCTGGTAAGTACCTGAAGGCGATTTTTACAAAAGAGATCAAGGCTACCATCAGAGTACGACTCGAAATGCAACGTCTACTTTTCAATTCTTGAGCATGCAAATTGTGAAGAAACAAAGAGAATAATAAAACTATCGAAGCGAAAAGAGATAAGGACAATCAGTTCAACGAGGCTGATACTATGTAGAAAGAAACTTTCCAAGACATCAACAAGACACAAGTCTAGGATGGCAGCAACCAACCACTACTGACCTTTGTTGATTTATAACCATGAAGAAAGCGAAATGTTTGAGGTGTGACATTATGCGACAAACACTACAACGTTGATCGCCGATGAAGGCGGTATTGCATAACACCATCACTCGTCCGAAGAGGTCGAGGCTCGATCCTGGGGCTCGATAGTGCTGTCTATTCAGTCAAAAGAACAGCGCCTTCAAGCCCTGGCCGTGTTTAAGGCAATGATCTCATTTCGCTATTTTTTCAAGATACATGTCCTTTCTTCGTGACTCTAAAAACTAACATCATAGAATGTACGCTGGGTGCCAGTGGGAGCTTTATCACACCGTTCGCACGGTTATTTCATCTTAGATCTCCAAGTTCTTTTGAGAACGGGGTACGTAGAATGAGACTTTTTTTAAAGTTGTTGAGACCACACTTATAGACCGCGCACTGCCAACGTTCACGCCGGCTCTGATAGAAAGAATACCTAGTCAAGACGCTTTACTATTGAAATTGCATGCCCTGTTTACTCTCAAGATCCCGAAAACGATACCATGTTAGGCGGCACATACCACATTACGGCAGCCCGCCCAGCAAAAAAGCAATGTAATCGACACCATTTTGTCTCCTCCACCCTACCCCCATGCAAACTATTTACACATGCACCTAAAAGTGGGAGTTGTCATAATTACCTCCGCTGAAACATAACGATTTCATCCTCGAGCAAGTCACTCAAGTCCAACAGCTTTCCTTTCTTTATGACATCCGGGTGCTTTTTGACCATCAGCCATCCCACATGCGAGAAGAAGAATCCTCTTTTAGCATTATGCGGGTCTCCATCGGTTTCGGCGTATTTGTGATGAACTCGATGGTCTCTTACCCATTCAAAGATGTCGTTTTGCCCGGCAATGCAATTGACCAACATTAGAAACAATCTGAGAGGCCAGACGGCTTTGTAAGAGCGATGACACCACAGCCTATGAGCTCCAGCGGTTACACCGAGTCCCCCAAAGATGTGACCAAGCCAAGCCCAGACCCAAGTTCTTGGATTTGCTGTTGGAAGGAGATAGATACCGTACAGCGCCATTAGGTGTAGAGCTGCAATGAAATAAACGTTCAACCAGACAATCTGACGCTGCGGGGTTTTTCCAGCACGGTCAGAATTTTTCGTTTCTGATTGAGTTGTAACTGCTGTATTTCCTCGAGACATCTTCAGTCGTTTTAGGCAGTAAAAGAGTAAAATTGCCTAAAGTGAACAGCGTAAACGACCACAACAAAAGCTATTTCAGCTTTCAGCCAATTGTTTTAATAATATTCATCATTTTAAAAGAGCAGCCAACCATAAAGATTAAAATGCACATAAATTATAAAATCCGTGTCACGGGCTGCCAGTGCATAGGTTGCGCGTCACGACTGTATCGCTTCGATCCTGAAAGAGTTGAACCACATATTTTCTTAAAACTTTGTTTCTCAACAAGTATGTTAGCTTTTCCCAGGCTATTAGTTAGTCAGGACGAGCGATAAGGAAAGGCGAGTGTGGAAAATTAAAGAAAGGGGAGCACGATTGAGGAGGAAGAAAGGAGGGCTGCCTCTCCCCAGTCCTCGTCCGTTTTCGTTTCTCGTTATGGCCTCCCGCGCAGACATTCGTTATTTACAGCGTTTCGTTTTCTCGCGTTCTTCTACAAGGTTCATGGAAGAAGAGACTCGACTCATGACCAGAACTCGCACATTAATTTCGACGCAGAGTTAATTACACTAATTTTAAATACATAATGACATATATTCTTATTCTTACATTTTTTAAACATCAATTATTCATGGTAGGTAGACTACTTTTGTGTCTGATGCAGATGAATTTGTTTTTGGTTTGTCTCATGATAGTCACGTTATCCTTAACGGACTTTTGACCTTTGGTTAGTCGAAGAGGATCCAGATATAGGCCTTCCGTGAATTGTTGTGTAAACGTCGAAATATAAGGATTTGTTTGGGGGAAAAAACGATTGTTTCTGTGTGTAAGGTATGAATTTGAAAGGATTTTAATAAAATCGGCCATCCTCACCTGACTTGTGTTTTTTCCTTCCTGAATGGTTCTT